TTTTTTTTTGAAAGGGGTAGTAACTACGCCGCAGTCACATTTTGAGGTCTAAATCCACTTCAAGCATCCCTCGAATACAACGCATCGCCACCCGACCCTAAAGCTGGGTTGGATACATTCATGATTTTCTCGCTTTGAGCCATGACGAGTAAAAAATCCGCCCAAAAAAATAAATAAAAAAAATGCATTTCAAAGTTCAAACTGAAAACCTTGACCACGCCCGGGTTTTCTAATTTTTTTTTCACTTTCTGAAATTCGAATTTCAAACAAAGTTATTACCACCCTCTTTCTCTTCTTCTTCGTCACAAAGTCCCGTTTTTCCATTGCTACCGCCGTCCCCTGAACATAACACATATGTGTTGTAGACTAGCCTACCAGACTGGCCCGGGGTCACTTGCCCAGCCGGGCCAAAAAAAAAAAAGAAGAAAAAAAAAAGAAATGATTTTAAAATTTAAATTTAAATTTTAGTTTTAAATTTGGTGAGGAATTTCCAGAATATATCTTTTTTTTTTTTTTTTTTTTTAATCAATCCTTTATTAACATGCAAGCCGGGAAAAAATGGGCGCGGCGTCCCTTACAAAAATCCGCTGCAGCCCTGAGCTGAGTGAGGCTCTCCGGCCAGGCAAAGCTCTCATGTCACGACTGTGTGAAGGGCAAAAGTTCCTCCTTCTCTTGATCTCTTCTACCAATTTGAACGGGTTATTTCTAACTTCCCCAGCAACATTCTTTTTTTTTTTTTTTTTTTTTTTTTTTGAATGACTGTCAGTTTATTGTAAGGGCCCAGTGCCCAAGGCGTCACAAAGATCACATATGGGATGTCAATCAACAGGGGCCCCCAGCAACATTCTACATACCCTATCCTATCCAAGTATTGGGGAATTAAGAACAGTTCTAGCCTAAACTATCCTGCTAACGGAAAGCATGAACAAACCAACATATCTACCTCCCACTATGTTTCAATCACAAGAAAAAACCCTGGAAAAAAGCAGACAAGGCAGTCGTCCTGGGGGGCAATCCACTGGTACAAGTCCCTCAAAGGCACCCCAGTGTGTAGTAAAGAACTGCATTGCCTTCCTATTAAACCCCTTCTGCTGCACCCTGTACTCCCCGTCAGCTTGTATTGTTTGTTTTATGCCATATTTGACCTCTGCTCGGAGTCTCGGACCATTGGCGGCGTCAGCCTGTCTCCACGTCTGATCACTGAGTTCCTTAGTGTCCAAAGAGTCCACAGTATTGCACCCCTGCGCAAGGCACCGTCCAGTTAACATCAACCTGGAGGGTAGAAAGCAGTGACCCTGAGGCAAAACTTGTTCAGTGTAGTTGTTCAGTTTATTTTTCTGCATAACATAGTTTTTTTGGGGATTTTTTGGGAATTCGTTTGTTTTTTTTGTTTTTTTTTTTTTTGGGGGGGGGGCGGAAGGACCTTCGCTGGTCCTTGCACGGGCTGTCCACCCGGGCCCGAATTTGACACACAGCAAGATTGTCCAAAAACAAAAACAGGCAAACACACAAAAATCCAAAAAAACATAAAATTTCAAATTTGACCCCAAAACCCTAATTTCAGGATCATTCGTGGTTACCAAGGGGTCCCCGTTAACCAATAGTGGGGCGGCCCGGCTGGTAGCCTAGGCCCTAGGTTGTAGACGAATACGAAGGACAGGTTGGTTTTTCTATTTGAGTACAAGGTATATACAACGCATATGCGTTCTATAGTTCTATTCGAATCATCCTTTTTTTTTTTGTTGAAAACTCGGATTCACAATGCATATGCACTGTGTTCAGGGGAAGATTCAGGCAGTGGTCATCATTGATTAGAATCATCAGACTCATTAGAGCCTCATTGAGTCATTGGGGATGGAGGTGATTTGATTGTGAGCTTCCGACCGAAGTGGGGTTGAGTGCATTGATTGATTGACATAATGAATGAATTGAAAAGCAAATGGCCCCCTAAAGGGAATGCTGGACACACCTGTTTTAAACGCCCAGTACTTGGCCCATATATCGGCTGGGGGCCTTAGCGTTAACGCTACGTGAAGTTCGCGCTTCGGGCAACCGGACTTGGAAGGCTGGCGCCGCCAGCCTTTCCGAAAACCAAAATCAAATTGGCGTTTCGGCGGGAAATGGCGCGCAGGGCACTTCCAGGCTCGGCTGCGATAGCTGGGCCAAGTACTGGTGGTTTAAGTTCTAACAGCTGGAACATGATATCTGAAGGCCGTCCCCCCTTTTTTTTTTTTTTCGGTCGTTTTTTTTCCTAAAAGAAAAAAGGTCAGGAGTGGTTTGAGAGTTGTCGAAATCCACATTGCTTTCCCTTAAGGGCCTTTACGAATCAGACCCCAAATGGATGCCCCAATAGCAAGGGGCCCTGTCGGCCAGAACTTAACTTCACGAGCAGCAACGCAAAAGACAAAGTTCCCTGAGGCATATGTCGCATCCATAATGAAATGAAAAGTCGTTTTGAACAGTCACATACAGGTTCTGCACGAACAGGTATTGGACACAACTTTCAAGACTGAGTTAGGGTCATGTCTCCTCGATGAAAAGTCATGTCTGTTCGGCAATGAGTCAAAGGCCACAGTCCCAGTTCAGTTATAATCCCATCATGATTAGTCAGTCCTGATTCAGACCAGGATTCTAAAACACAGGCCCGATGGCCCAAAGCAGCAGCAGACCATGGGACAAGATACTGGGACACACACTTTGCAACAATCGGTACTGGGCAGGAGTCCTTCATAGGGCACATTTGAGGCTGAATGCAGGGCACGCCAGACCAGTCCGGCACTATAAAGGACTGGACAGCCTCCCATTTGGACAGATGGTCCCTTCGCATGAGAGTGTGGAAGTGTGGTGGCACTTGTGCGCTAGACGTGTGTGAGCTGCGCTAGGCTGAAGAGCAGCGATATGTGGGAAGGAGGAAGAGAGTGCTGGCTAGAGGGAAGGCAGCAATAGCTGTGGCAGCGCTAGTTAGAATGTTAGTAGGGATAGTCAGTAGAAGGTACCAGTGAGTAGTATTCAGAGTAGATCCTCGAGTGGTAGGGAGTGTGCATACATGACGAGTGAGGGTAGACTAGGAGTATAGACAGAGGGAGAGAGAGAAGAAGGCAGACGAGAGAGGGGGGGAAGTGAGAACTATGGTGATACTTACCTGTTGAGCGCTGTTGACATCCGGCAGCCGGCGCTGATGAGCGCCAGGCTAGGAACTCATGTTGAATGAAGAAGATTTGTAACTCTGTTCAGCGCTATACATTTTGAACGAACTCACGATGTTCTCTCTCTCGATCTGGGTTTGATAATTGAGTTAAGCTTCCTGGTTCTCATTCATCTTCTATTGGGTTTTGTGTGAGACCTCGCAATCTGTGAAATCAGTGTATATGCATGTGATCTGCTGTACTCCAGCAAGCGATGAACAGTCGGGTTCCTTGACAGAACAACTTCAAAATATAACTTGTCAGAATTTGAGAGTCTTGCAAAAAAAAAAAAAAAAAAAAAAAAAAAGGTGTGAAGTTGTTAATCTTGCTTGTGGTTGGGAGTGCCGCACAGAAAGGAACGATTCAATAAAGGGGAACAGAAAAACAAAAACAAAGAGTGCCGCACAGAAAGGAACGATCCAAAAAAGGGGAACAAAAAAACAAAAACAAAAAAAAAGGAAGGGCGTACGGTTTTGCTCACAATGTGGATGTGAATGGCTGGCAGGTGCGACACGGACCATGTCAATGTACTTTTTTGGCGTATTGTGACGAGGGTAAGGAACGTGCAAGATCTACAAGTCAGGCGTGATGCAAACGATTCTAATAAGATTCTTCAGAGAAGATGCAGATGTGAAACGGCTAAATGCCGTAAACAGGTAATACCCCCTCTTGCAGTGTAGCCGAGCAAATGCGACATCTGTGTGTGACAGCACCCAACCGCTGTTCTGACGTGTTGCTTGTTGCGCCGTTATTTGAATAATAATGCCACAACTTTATAGGGGTATTGCTTGATTGGTGCCCAAGCAGCTGAGATGGTTGGCTAGTCCCCCCTGGCCGGTTTGGTAGGACCCAGGGTGTTCGGCGGGAGGACGAGTTGTGCCGTCCTGTGATCCGAGCTTGCAGAGGCTTCACCCTTGGTCCTGCCACTGGCTGCCAGCGCTCGTCCCTCGCTGGGGGTGAGGAGCGCAGGTACTACTCCCCCTGCACAGAGCAGAGTGGGGACAGAGACATAGAGGCCGAGGCCGCCAAGCAGGTTGTTCAGAGCGCTGCTTATAGAGTTCCTCATATAGAGAGGTAGGTAGTTGGAGGTAGTAGGTAGAAGAGCTATATTGAGTGAAGAATATATATAATATATTATATAAGCTTAGTTTTTAATTTTAATTGAAAATATATATACATATATATCATCAAACAGAGCTTCCCGATAGACTGTAGGCAGAGAGGGAGAAGAGGACCACACGAGGGGCTGTGACAGACTTTTTCGCCGGAGTTGCACCGACCCATCAGGAGGCTGAAGGAGAGAGAGAGAGAGAGAGAGAGAGAGAGAGAGAGAGAGAGTGCTCTTCCACTGTTTGAAAAAAGCACTGTCACATGCCCTTTCAAAAAGAGGCATTTCTCTTCTGTCAAATCCGATGGGAATTCAAACCTTCTCTAATCCGTGTCTTAAACGAGTTTTCATTAGTATACTGTTTTGAAAACCATTATAATGTGCAGGGACGCTGGACCCGATTTCCAGCAGGTGCTGCTCCCCACCAATAGATGGAGCCTCCATGGGAGTGCTAGCGGTGTCTGCTCTTACCAGCACCCCTAGCACCACCCCGGGTGTTAAAAAAAAAAAAACAAAAAAAAAACGAGTTTTCATTATGTGCCGGAAACTAGGTCCGGTGTCGCTGACAAGTTACAAGAAGAATTCGCTCGAGCAACTCGACGATGCCCTCTCGTCACGGACGAGGGACTCTCAGATAGTGGCACTGGATAGTAGATACGGCAGCTGAGAAAGGTTGCGGACTGCAAGGCTGGGGGCCGTGTACTTGTGGTTGAAGAGACTTGGCTTGTGAGGCCGAAGTCGCCGGTTCGATGCCGTGCGTGCACGGAGGAGGGCTTAGGCCGGTTTGCGGACGCAATCCGTATAAACAAATCATGTCCGGTGCGTCTAACAGTCGATGCATCCGGGAAACCACATGTGTTTTGGAATGCAAGGGATCTTGCAATCGCCACGGTCGAAGTCATGAATGCGCAAGTTGTTCATGCAATTGCAAATCATGTCACGGCAACTGCAGTGACATAACGACATTCATGATTTGTGCATTCAGTGCGGTGACAGAACGGCATGGATAGATTTATCCATGACTTGTGCATTCACTGAATGTTGTTCGCATTCAGTGCGGCGACAGAATGCCATGGATATATCTTCTTCTTCTTTTTTTTTCTTCTTTTTTTTTCTTCTTTTTTTTTCTTCTTTTTTTTGTCTTTTTTGGATGACAGAAGTTGTAGGGCTGAATAAAGAATTAAATAAGACAGAAAGGTCATCGAAGAGCAAGAAGAGTTGCTGGCTCAGGGGTCCTAGGGGTTCTTGAACATAACAAAGGGCAGCTCTTGCACGCACGCACGCTAGAGAGAGAGAGAGAGAGAGAGAGAGAGAGAGAGAGAGAGAGAGAGAGAGAGAGAGAGAGAGAGAGAGAGAGAGAGAGAGAGGTCACGGGATTACCAAATACACGCAAAATCACTCTCTGATTTGTGAGGGGAATAGAGTTCCAGTAGAAGTTTCGAAATCCATTTTGCCAGTCGTTCGGGTTATCTGTTAAAAAAGTGGAATGATACAGGGAAGATTGGCATGGCGCATGTGCAAGGATGACACACATAAATAGAGAAAACCTACCATCAGTGCGATTTGCATTCATGCGCAGGACTTGTGAATTTCAAGATGTCTCCACACCTCTCTCTCTCTCGCGCGCGCGTGCGCTCGCTCACGCTCGCGATCGCTCGGGTGTGTCTGCTGTGAAGTGTGAAAGCTTACACTTATACACAACTGCTGCTCATTTTTCCTTGGCTTGGGTTTCTCAAAATTTGGCTATTTTTAGAAAGAAAAAGATTAGTAATTCTTGGCTAAGATCAAGTGTAGTATCTGTTCTGATCATTAAAAAAAACAAGTGGATCGCGCAGAAGAGGGGGTGGAGAGAGGGATGGAAGTGTCACAACCATGATCTGCCCATATACAGTATTCTGCTGATGTGCACGACAGAATCAAATCAGGCCCTAATGATGCTGTAACTCACAGATGCTGCTTTAGCGCATTCACGTACGAACATGAAGATTAACGAAAGCAATACACGACTTCATTGTTATTCGAAACTCAGAACGCGCACGTTGCAATAATTATGTGCACAGCAACACCCTGTTTTTCAAATGCGCACGTGGCCATCATGACTTACCGGCATTTTGCCATGGTTATGGTTGTTATTGTAGCGGAAGATTCATTCGATTTTGCTCATCCTATGGATGGAAGTAACGTAAACGCGCGCGCGCGCATGTGTGTGTGTGTGTGTGTGTGTGTGTGTGTGTGTGTGTGTGTGTGTGTGAGAGAGAGAGAGAGAGAGAGAGAGAGAGAGAGAGGCTACTTCCATCGAT